TCGAACGGTTAATTAGTAAAAACATATATTAATAGTAAATTTAAACTTTATATTTATATATCATAATTTCTCAAGTTGTGATCACATAAGCCAAAGAAAAAGGACAAACATTGGATAAAACCCTAAAAGTAACCCAAAAATCAAATTTGAGTCAATTTTTATGCCAATTATCCTTGGCTCAAGTTCAATCCTTACACTGAGTTTGTTTAGGATGAAAGTGTTAAAAAGTGATGGGAAGATAAAAAAAAAATATAATCTTTTATTAGTTTGTTTATCATGAAAATGGTAGGCATAGTTAAAATCACATGTAATTTTAAACACGATACATGTATATTTAGAGATTGCATAAAAATATGCACAACACATTAAATTTCCTCTAACTTGTATATGTGAAATTTCCTTTTTGATTAATAAACTGGATGTAAATATTTAGTCACCTAAATTTTTTTTAAAATTTTTACATGATACATGTAATTTTTAGTTTTCAAAATTAAAATAATAAAAATTTTGACTTATAAATATTTTTAAAATTTGAAATTATGTAAGACAAAAGTTACAGTTAAAAAGTTTTCTTAATATTTTTAAATTTCAAATTAAATATGAGTTAGATATAGCTAATTTTTTTTAAATATGATTAGATGTGCCAATATTTTTATGTTAAGTATATTTCTTAAATTTTAAAATTAAAAAAAATTAAAATGTTTAGATTAATATTTTAAAGTTAATATGATATTATAATATATAGATATAGATAAATACAGATATAAATTATGTACTAAATTTTTAAGACGATTTATTAATTGAGCTCAATTTTGACATAATCATTGAAACTTTGCTTGGTCTGATTATTAATATTATTACATAATATATAAATTATTCTATGTAGTGTGTATATTAAATCCCACAATAGGGGTATCAAATAAATTATTAAAATTAACAAAAGTAAATATATACATAAATAATATATTATATATACTATAGAATTATTTAATTTGATTTTGTTTACTTGTCATCATTGTGAGTTCAAAATTACCTGATCAATGCCATATTCTTGAAACGAAACGCAAAGCTTGACATCCCTTTGTCAATTACAAATTATACCGAGGAACATATATTAAATATATTACGTAGTGTATACAGATATCAACTAAACTAATTAAAATTAACATACATCATTGTATACATAAATAATATAGGAAAAAACTTGAAATTCTTAAAATATGATTCCTAAATTTATTCACAATAATTTGAATTACTCCATATTAATTATTAATTAGTTTAAAAAGCAATCAACCCAAGAACTAAAAAATCAATTTTGAAAAGATGTCTAGTATTTCTCAATAAAATATTATATGCACTATAAAATTATTTAGTTTGATTTATTATGGATTCAAAATTAACTAATCAACTCCAAATTTCAAACCAGAAAATGAATATTTTTATTATATTTTTTAACAAAGTCGAAAAGCTTCACATCCTCAGTCATCTTGGAGATCCATAAATAATAATAATAAAAATCTCTTCCTCACATTTACTAACTAATATTAAAATCAATGCACATATAGATGGAGAACTTACGGAATAAACCTTAATAATACACATATAAATTGAGATGTACATAGATAAAATATAAGTCACATATATTAATATGTATTATGAATTTGAATACTTGACCTATTGAGTGAACGTCAAAAGGGAGCATGGGTAGACGGCTAGGGTTTTTTGGGTTAGAGAGTATAGATTGGAGAGAAGATATACCGTAAACATTTCCTTTTTAAAAGTCATTCGTTTTGAAATCTATAAATTAAGGAGTAACTACTTTTTAAATAATTAATTAAATAGATTGGCCGATAGACTTTTTTTCTAATCTATTTTGTAAATTAAAAATCAACAATTTTGGGATGGGACTTTGAAGGTGTCATATGCATTCTCATTAAAAAGACATTTTCCCTTATATATAATAGATAGATAGATTGGAATTATCTTCACACCCACCCCTAGATCCTATCCCCTTAAAAAGTAAATAAAATAAAATAAATTGAAAAATATTGAAGTAGAGTCCTTAGAAAGATTTCTTCTTTGATACTCGAAGAGACCCGAGTCCGGATCCCCGGTCGCAGTTTCCTACGGCACTTCCTGCGGCGTTCCAAAACGACGTCATTTTGGCGTTAAATTCAATTTATTTTTTTTTTTAATTTTTTTTTTTTTTTTTTTTTTGGTCGGTGTGAACCCAAACCATCAAAGAAGACCATGAACGAGGAGAGGAGAAAAACGAAACAGAAGGAGTAGAGTCGGAGGACGGCGACGGCAGGCAAGATGGCATTGATTCGCGGTGAGGCGAGCCGAGGTAAGATGTGGTCCCTTAAATCTTCATTCTCCCCAATCTTCAATCTTCATTATATAATATATATATATATATATATATATATGAAATTTATTTTTGTTTTAACTGGATTTACAGATGATACTATCATTGAGCTTACATTTGCTCTCAATCCCCACTCTTTAAATTCAGTAGCAGTACACCAGCAAAAAGGGAACCATACAAGAACTCAATATATTAATTTTTTACTTAAAAGTTGTTCCAAATCTCCTAATAATGTTTTAATAATTTTTTTTGTAGAGGGGTTTGTGCATGAAACAGAGAAGGAAATGAAAAAATTAATGAACCCAAACATAGCATAAATCTATCTATGACTAATTCATTTGTGTTTGATCTCTTCATTTTGCAGATGGATGTCTATACTCCATCTCTCTCTCTCTCTCTTCTCTCTCTCTCTCTCTCCTGTACCTTGTTGATATATTAGGGTTAAACAAGAACATATCAGAGGTAAGAGGAAGAGGAAGATGAAACTCAAATTTTGGGTTTTTTTAAAAAAAAACACTAACCAAACCACGTCGTTTTGGTGAGGGCGACAGGGACGGCCGCAGGAAAGGACGACAGAGGATCCTTGCTCGAGAGACCCAGGATGAAATGAAATTGGCTAGCGAACAAGAAGATAACTACCATTATATACTTCTTTTACTTAATTAAAAATAAATAAAAGGAGAGACCAGCATGTTGCGCTGATTTGGTTTTCAAGAACTATGATGGTCAGTAGCAAATCATAATTTTATAGACTTCTCAATGTTGTCAGATTCACTCTTTAAAGACTCATGTTTGATCAGAAACAGTGGAAAGATCAATACTCACTACTTTGTTGTGAATATGACGCATTTCAAAGGTGTTCCATTATTTAGATCTTCAATTGTGCAATTTTATTATGTTTTGGAAATTTTGTTTTGTCAATTACTTGATTTATATTAATTTAGTTTGGTTTAACGTTTTTTTTTCTTTCTTTTTTTTTTTTTATAACAAATTTGGTTCGTCAATCACTAGGTTTTTATGAATCTAGTTTGATGGCTTTTTCAGTACTAAAAACTAGTGCGTACTTATATGAGAAAATGTGATATCTTATGTAACATGGATACAATACAAGATATATCAATATCCATTACATAAGATACAAAACAGCGTACAGTGGGGCAGTTTTTTATTCGTTTGTTTGTTTATTTTTTTAATTTAAATAAAATTTAAAATAAAACAAATAAATAAATAAATAAAAACAGAAAACTTGGGTAGGCATTATCTTTTATCTACCAAATTGACGGACAAGTCGGCAAATTTGGACTACAAATAATCAAGCACCAAAATCGCAAGCCATGCTTGAGAGAAGTGCTTGAATTTTTTTGTGTATACCATCTATAAAAACATTTAAGTCAATTTAATAATTATATAATTTTCATTTTATTACACTTATCTCCCAACACAAATTATTAAAATCATATCTATTATAGATTTCTCAAATTCAATCTGAGTTTAATATAGAGTAATACTAGAGATTCTAAAAGTTCTATTAGAATTTCTAACAAATATTTCACATGAATATGAACCCACATGATGTAAATCCTACGCCCATATAAGACATTTGATAAAAAATTTAATAAAACTTTTAAAATCTATAACATTTTTCTTTGATATACAATGAAATGGAGGGAACGAATACGAGACAAGTAGGATTGGTAACCACGTAGTCATTATTGTTGAAGCTTTAAAAGATCATTCATTCAAAAAGACCAACTAAACCCATTTGGCTGGCAACATATCCAACAACCATTCTTGATCCGCCACTTGTCACCCACATACATATATTATATGCATATATACTGAACCATTTCATAAAAAATAACATTTAATCCACAAACATAATATATATAGAGAGATAAGGAGAGATGTGTAATATAATACATATGTTAAGATAGTTTTATATTAGAATGCTGGTGAGCTGTGCAATAAGAATGTCTTAATAATGATAATACACTGCTGGAAAAATGACTTTTAGCGGCGTTTTTTTTAAACGCCGCTATATGTATGAAAAACGCCGTTAATTCCTTTAGTGACGCTTATCACCAAACATCGAGGACGCGGCCGTCGCTATAAGTTTATGACGCTTTAAAAACGTCGTAAAATTAGTATAGGCGGCGTTTTATAAACGCCGCTAAAATAGATAAATAATGATAAAATGACGTCATCCAATATTTAGCGACGTTTTTAAAACGCCGTGATAGATTTTTTTATTTTAAAAAAAAGTCCGTTGGCACTGTAGTGGCGTTTTGAAAAAACGCCGTTATAGCTCTTTGTTTTTTTTTTTTTTTTTTTTTTTGTAAAACTACTAATTTTGTAAGATTTAACTTTAAAAATATACCAGTAAAATAGCAATAATGAATAAAACTTTGTACCCAATACAACATCCTTCAAGAAAAAAATCTAATAAGTTCAATCCCAGCATCATTCTACCTGTGTATGTTTTATCTTGGGCAAAAACATTAAATAGAGAGAGTATAATATCTACAAAAAAGCTCATCATCAACAGTCCAGTAGAAATTAAAAGAAACAAATGCCAAAGGAATGAAATTATATCCCACCAAATGCATTTAAATTGTTTATTGATAGAACATTTTTAGAACACATCAGAGGATTTACAAAGAACCCCCAAATCTCCGTTGTGTTTTATACAAGTGCATGAATCAATCACAAAAAGAAAAATAAAATAAAATCTGTGATTTCTCAAATCAATGTCTTCAATTTGGAATGTTGACCATCTCAGCTTGGCTGGGAAATACTGCAAAAAAAAGTTCACTAATTAAGAAAGCGAAAAATCAAGATAAAAAAAGAAAAAATTCGAAAAATAGATGTGCATAGAAACCAGTCACGGAACTCATAAGATGCTCCTTGTGAGTGAACTATTCTGTAAATGATTTCTACACACCTAGTTTCTTGACTAATGTAGTGCTCACCTTCTCAATAAGAGAAAGACAGTATGGCTTGACCTTCTCGACATCAATGCGCACTTTGCTCTTACTATAAAAGTCATATTTGCTGCATAAATTCGAGAAAGTTGATGCAAAACAGTAAACTTTGTTAGTTATATTAGCATAACACATGAAATTAAAAATAAAATGCTAAAAAAAAGGGGTTACTTGAAAATTTTCAGCCACTTCAAATTCTCAACATCATCCGCATTCATCAAATGTGTGTATGCTCCTGACTTGTGTAATGCTGCAAGATGAATGACCCAGATATTCATGTTATTCATTAAAATAAAACTAATTTTTGGAATTTGAAAAAAATATTTTGGCATAAATGCTTACGATAAAAAGAGTGGTATTGGATGATGAACAATGCAGTTGGAGGCAAAGTCGTTCCATTTTCCTTAGCCACCTGAAAAATGAAAATCCAAATTACATTAACAACCTGTTTTTATAGCATTAAAGATCAAAATTTGACTAAATACTTGAATATTTTCTAAAGGGGTGAAACTGAGGCACATACCAAATACATGTAATTGTCATGCCCCCTATCCGCTGCTGTTCTAGTTTACATATGATAGAACCCTATCCACTGCTGTTGAATAGCAGTTTTCAAGGCATTTTCTACATACCTCAGGATAATAATTGCTGTCAATCTTTTGAACTTTTGTGAAGATATTCCTTGCAAGCTTTGAGAAATTAGAGAGACCCTATGCAAAGAAGATAAACTGGTTTTATTTAAAGGTAGCTAAAAGCGCATCAAGATTATGGATGATGACAATAAATTATTTTTTGAGAGCTTTTGAGAATCTGTCACGAGAACAGCTCTTAAAATAAAATGAAATCAATTCTTCACAAGTTTGCAAGTGTATATGTTTATAATATGTGTTTGTGAATTATAACAACTTTCAATGACACCAATCCATGTGTAGCAATAATACCCTGATATACAGACAAGTAGTGTTTTACAATCCGAGCAAGACTCACATGTTTGGCAGTCGTTTGTAAAGGTGTCGGTCCCACATCACACAAACCAATGACTGCTGAACATGTGACTCTTGTTCAGCTTATAATTCGCACTGTAGATCATTTTCCTAACATTCCATATCAAATCTGAACGCAAAGTCTTAACTTCTATATTCATTCTTTCTAAAAATTCTATTTAAGCGAATAGTACATAACTACAATATGATGATAATAATCTTAACCTGTAACCGCTGCCAATGGAAAATAATTATAATTCCTAATTTCCAAGGATGTTTTTCAAGATTAAACATATGTTTTTACATAATGAAACCTACAACTGTTTGACAAACCAATTATTGAAGACAATCAGAACTATATTCAGCATCCAAACAGAACTAAAGACACTATCAAATTAATGTGTTTGCATAAATAAGACTGAAAAATAGAAACAAGTTGAGTTGCTCACCACACCCTTCACATCTAAGATGCTTGTGGTGGAAGCTATATGCTTCTTTGCTGATACCGAGCATGCAGGGTATCTCCAATTCAATGTTTTCTCTTGTTCAGACACGTGATACTTCATGAATCTATCGATAGTAGTTATTTGCAAAAAGGCATTAAGATCTACCATTCCAACCCTTTCTATGTATAGTGGTCTTCCATACTTATCAACTCCATGAAATCCATGAGGATAGCATTTCTTAACCTCTTTGTACTCTTTGAACTTAAATTCCTGCAGTATATATTAAACAAAGAATTCCACAAGAATCAACAGATATAGTTTGAGCAAGAAGGCAGTGTATTTGATTAAAGAGGACAGCCAAATAGATTTTTTGATTTTCTGAATGGGATAATGAAAAAACTATCTATATAAAAATAAAAATAACAAATACTAATATTTTTTTTGCAAGAAGGCAGTGTATTTAACAATTTTGCAAGGTTTTACTATTATTTTTTTTATTAAAAAAAAATTACTAATATGTTAAGTTCAATAAGGTAAGCATCATAATTTGTGTTTTTACAGTTAGGCATCATCAATATTCATAGAGAAACAGTCATTATCTTATCATCATGATGCTTCCAAATGGCATCAAAAGCATATATTATACACAGGTTTCAAAATTCACGGACTCAAAAAAAAGAGAGAGACACTTCCTGTCTAGACCTGCCATAGTAATTTGAGTG